TTATAAAACCATGGACATGTTTATATGATGACTTTTTCTGAACACACCCAAGTTAACTGTATCAATAAAAATTTAAGGAGTTCCAGCCTCTTCAAGGGTTTAAAACTGAATTATGTTCCAGCTGACCAAACTGAAACTAGTTACACAACCTGATTCATAAACATGTAAATTTTAATCTCATCCCAGTTTATTATCATTATAACATGTTAGTTATCCATATGCTGTCTTTATAGAAAAGAAATTTAGAATTCTGAGAATGCACAGGGAAAGGGGAAAATGCTATATGAAATATGTTGGCCAGAAATAAATTCAACTTACCAGGTTTTACAAAAGAGATCAGGACTCCAGACAGTGTCAGTAGGATGAGGTGAAATGTCTTGGTATTGGGCATTGCCTCTTCAAAAAGTGAGATGCTTCTGGGAATGCTCAAACTCTCTAAATTCTTAATCAGGAATCAATTTTCTGAAGTTTAATCAAAACCTTGTCCAGTCAGTTCTCAAATCTTTAGACATGTAGAATACATAAGCAGAATGGCAAATATGCTACAGCCTCATTTACGCATGCAGTCTGGCTGATTAACTGATTTAAGCCAGAAGGCAGTTCCACCTTCTAACAATTTTGTCTTATTTCTCCACCCCCCAAGTTCTACAGTTGGCCCTTGGAAACTCAATCCTCCCCCAACAGAGTAAGGTATATGTTATTTGGCCGTTAACTGCAAAACCCCAAAGGCTGCACTAGGCTTCCAATAACTGGACTACGTATTTTAAGTTTAGGATAGCAATGAATAACCCTATTCATTAAACAGTTCTATCCTTAAAATAGGCATATGTTTGCATAGGGTGTGAGAGTGTAAAACAGAAGGATACCAATCACATAATGTTTAAAGTAATGATGGAAGATTAAAGATACTAAAAAGTTTCTGAATTCAACGTTATCTACCAATTCTTGATTGAGTTTAAAATATATCCCAGGTATCAGATCCATGTTTATTAACCATTCTTCGATTTAAATTCTGAACATTTTGTGAAAGATCTTTTCCTGTTTGCTAAGAGATGACTGAATGTCTTTAACCTGAAAGAATCATATAAATGATGAGGGGATATTTGAATCTTCCAGAAATGCTCAATGCCTTGAAAACCTGGAATCCTTATGTTGAAATATATATATCCCAAAGTATTTTTGAATAAATTAGAGGTAAAAGTCAAATTTTCATTAGGAAGAAAATTGCTTCAGCATACTTATTTACATGAGCACTTAGAAAATAGGCTAAAATCAGTTAGGCACTTGAAATTATTTGCAGCAACTTTACATTCAACCTGCAGTGAATGACTTTTGTTTAGTTGAATTTACTGGAAAAAAACCATGCATTGTTCAAATAACTTAGTTTCATTCTGGTGAGCTTTTATTTTTGATAAAAGTGTGAAAAAATATTTTAAGAACCAATACACATCCTTGATCTAACTTCAGGTTTATAAGATTCAGTTTTGAAAAGTGGATTGTTGTAAATTGTTATATAGAGGCACAATGGTAGTTTTTAAATATATGTTTCATTTTCTATTTATTCCTATTAAAGACTAATGATTTTGTTTTGTAAGAGTTCCATTTGAATTTTTATAGGCATTTTATTTATATTATTAAATATATTACAAATATATTTTTTCCCTTGCAAATTTTGCACGTCAGCTCCAGTTCAGTAGCCAAACTAATAGTCAAATGATAAAATCACTATTTGAATTTCCTTCAAATAAATTTAAATTACTTCTTGTTGAATTCTAATTTATATCAGTATGCATATAAAAGCTTGCTACCTTTGCAAGGAAAAACTTCACTGTGTTTCTGTAGTCAATCTGAAATCCAAGGCTAAGATCCTCTATGCCACTTAGGCCACTCAAACTGTTTTGATTCAAATTATTTGCATGTAAAACTGCAAACTTTTCCATTTCATATGTAAAACTACTGTTCCAAGCATTTTGGAAGTGCTTTGGGTTTGAAACATTTCCAAAATCCTCAAAACAGTCTGTTTTGAACTCACAAAGTTTCAGTCAAAAATTTTCCACATCTCTAACTGCCATATTTGTTCCCCTCGCAAATACTCACTTTTATTCACACCTGACCACAACTGGAAAAATGTGAAAAGATGTTTCTTATTACTTGGCACTACAGTAGACAACAGTTAGCCTAGCACAGGCTACCACTGCTGTATGTTAGTTTGATGAACTGATATTTAAAAAGTAATATATAAACTTATTTGGTATATTGGCACAAACTCAACGTGGCTTATAAAATAAAATAAAACGTAAATAACAGTAGCAGCAAAAATCATAGCCCATCCTACAATGCCATCATCTGAACATCTGTGATCTCGAGCATTATTCATTTTTTCAGCAAGGTAAAATTTCTGAAATGACTTACATTAAAACTAGCACCATGGAACATTGTAAATTGAAATACTAAATAGTTGTATCACATTTGCCAAGATTATTATTCTAGAGGGTTTCAGTTCAAAAATCAGTTTGTACTTGTTAAGGGAGAAAGCTGCCTGTGTGATGATCATTATGTTAAGGTAATTAATTGGCATTTGGATAACTATCAGTATTAATTCTGCAGAGAATTGACTTTAAACATTAAAATCTATCCAAATTAAAATTCAAAAAGCTTCTAATAAATCACAGCTTGTGAGTCTTATCCATTATAGTACAGAGTTTAAGTTGCAAACATCCATTTCATACCAGAATGGGGCGTTGGTTTTTACCTGATACGCCCCTTCTCTAGGAAGGTACATGGGTTAAATCAGCCAGTAACCAATAGAACTGAGTCTACCAAAGTGATGTCATTGCCTCTGAGGCGTGTCCTGCTTTTCTTGACGAAGGAGATAAGTACACTGCTGTGCGCTATTCGATTGCTCTCAATCCCTTGATGATCCAGTATTTCTCTCAAAACTCCCTCTGCGAACTAGGCCAGGACTGGAAAGGGTGGGGATGACCGCTGTCTCCACCTGCCCAGAGAAGAGGCGTATCAGGTAAGAACCAATGCCCCATTCTCCAAAGTTGGTGGAGACAGCGGTCATGCAGGGGACGTACCAAAGCTAGGCCGGACCCTGGGTGGGAAAAGACTGGCCAAGGAGCTGAAAGAGGGAAGAACCTGTTGTAGGACCCGCCATCCAAATGTTGAATCCACTGATGCATATCTATCCCCCTTGTAATGGCGGATAAAGGGGGTAGTAGTAGTCCAGGTATCTGCCTTGCAGATCTCTTCCACCGAGTCCATGCCGCCGATGTAGCCGCACTGAGTGTGGAATGTGCCATGATGTTGGATGGAGGAGTGAAGTGATGTGCCAGGTAGGCCCTGGAAATGGCAGATCAGATCCAGCACTCAACCATTGATGGAGAAGCCTTTAGCCCTTTATTTGTGGGATGGAAAGACACGAAGAGAGCTTCAGTGCGTCTGAAGGTGGCTGTTTTGGTGATATAGATCTTAAGAGCACGCAGCATGTCTAACCTGTGCCATTTGCGTTCAAGTCTGTGAGAAGGATTAGGACAGAAATTTGGAAGAGTGAGGTCTAGAGATCGATGATACATAGAATTTATCTTTGGAATAAAGGTGGAATCAAGGCGAAGGACCACACGATCTGGGTGAAATACACATAGGTCAGATCGGATGGAAAGGACCGCCAATTCCAAAACCCGCCGTGCCAACATAATGGCCACCAGAAAGGCCATCTTCAGAGTAAGGTGATGCAATGAGGTTGACCTGAAATGCTTGAAAGGCGGTTGAGTGAGAAAGTCAAGTACTTTGGCTAGATCCCATGAGGAGAAACGATGTATGACAGGAGGGCAGAGATTAGACGCGCCCTTAATGAAATGGCAGACATGAGGGTGCAAGGAGAGGAGTTCATCCCAGTGAAGAGAGAAGATGGAAGAGAGGGCCGACACCTGACGCTGAAGGGTGTTAGGTGAGAGCCCTCTATCAAGCCCCTGCTGCAAGAACTCTTAAAACCTGGGGAACTGAGGCCTCCAGGGAGTGGCATCTCGAGAAAGGCACCATGTAATGAAAAGTCTGCCACATAGATTCGTAAATTCTGTTAGTGGCTGGGTGGTGGGAAGCCTGGATAGTTTGAATTACAGTCTCAGAAAGGTTAGCCACCCTCAAGACCGCCCGCTCAGCCTCCAAGCGGTTCGGCGGAGCCAGGGCAGGTCGGGATGGTGGATGGATCCCTGATGAAGAAGGGATGTTATCATTGGAAGACCTACTGAGAGATTGATCAGGTCCGCATACCAGGGTCGGCGCAGCCAATGAGGAGCGATCAGGATGAGCTCAGTCCCCTCCTCTATCATTTTCTGAATTACCCTCTGTATCAGAGGGAAGGGAGGTAAGGCGTACAGGAGACCGCAAGGCCACCTGCCCCTTAAGGCATCCATCCCTTCTGCGCCTGGTGTCATGTAACGAGACAGGTACCTGGGCAGCTGCTTCTTGGACGCCATTGCGAAGAGATCTAGCACCTGAGTCCCGTACCTGGACGACAGCTGTCTGAAGATGCGACGGTTCATGTTCCATTCCGCAGGGTCGATTGTTGTGCAGCTCAGCCAGTCTGCCCTGGTGTTATCGATGCCTGAGATGTGTTTGGCATGGAGAGAGAGAAGGTTGGCTTCCGCCCAGATTCCTAGGCGAAAGGCAGACTCCCTGAGAGATACTGCCCTCGTCCCCCCTTGGTGGTTGACGTGCGCCTTGGCCGTTGTGTTGTCTGTCTGAATCAGTACGTGTGTGTTGCGAAGCAAGGATTGGAAGTGGAGGAGAGCCAGATGAATGGCCCTCAACTCTAGCCAATTCATACTCTGGGAAAGGTCAGAATCGGACCAGAGACCCTGAGCTACTTAATTCTCCAGGTGGGCGCCCCATCCCATAATGCTCGCGTCCATCGTGACTACGAGACATGGAGGTTCTCTGAAGAGAGATCCCTGAGAAATGACCGGGGATATACACCAGTCCAGAGATTGAAATACCTCTGGAGTCAACCTGACTTTCACTAGGGAACAGCTGCTGTTGGTTTTCTGGAATGGCAGAAGAAACCACTGAAGGCTACGGCTGTGAAGCTGTGCCCAAGGAACGATGGAGAAGCAGAGACCATCTTCCCCAGCAGTTGAGACAGCTGGAGAAAAGGGACCAGCTGCCTCCTCTGCATCTCCTTGGCCAAGTCCCTGAGGCTGATCTGGTGTTCCTGAGAGAAGGAAGACCCTCCCCTGAGAAGAATCGATGAGGGCTCCTAGGTGCACTAATCGTGAGGTGGGGACAAGGTGACTCTTCTCCTGATTGATGGAGAATCCCACCCCCTGAAGCACCTGTAAGGTATCCTGGAGCTCCTGAAGAGCCTGGTTGTGTGACCTTGACAATAAGAGGATGTTGTCCAGGTAGCACATGATCCGAATGGGTCTGGCTTGCAAGTGGGCTGCTATGACTGCCAGGAGTTTGGTGAACACCCTTGGGGCTGATGATAGCCCGAAGGGGAGGGCACGATACTAAAAGTGACAGGCCCGCATAGACAAAGCGGAGGAACTGTCTGTATTGCCTGTGAATGGGCACATGGAGGTAAGCCTCTGTGAGGTCCACTGATATGAGGAGATTCTGTTTGCATACACTCTCTAGGATTGATAGGAGAGAGTGCATTTTGAATCTCCTGTACCTGATGATTGAGAAATTTGAGATTGAGGATTGCTCTCCAGCCCCCCGAAGACTTTGGCACGATAAAGAGACAAGAATAAAACCCCATCCCACTTGGCCTGGAGGCACAGGTTGAATGGCCTGAATGTGGAGCAGATGATAGATGGCCTGCTCTACTAGGAGCCTCTTGTGAGGATCCTTGGAGATTAGGCACATGACAAAGTGGTTCGGAGGAGCGGAGCGCAAGTCCAAGAGAAGGCCGAATCTGATAATGGACCTGACCCACGCATCGTTGGTGATGTCGTCCCAACGATCCGTGTAGGATGCCAGACGACCCCAGGCCAGAAGATCCTCCAGGCAGTCATTTCTGCCTCTGGTTGTTATTGTCACTGAATGACTTTCTGGGCTGGAATCTCTGGTTGTTCCTGCCTGATCTGTTGGAGAAGGAGGGGCCCTGTCTGGGAGGAGCCTGGCGTTGAGGGCGGAAATTGGAGGAACCCCCATCCTAACCACGAAAGGGCTGCCTATGGTAAAAAGGCTGACTCCGATCCTCCTGTTTCTGGGTGGCCGGTTGTAGGATCTTCCGCTTATCCTTGGACTCTACTAGTAGAGGCTCCAAGGGAGGACCAAAGAGAAGGGAGGAAGAATAGGGAGAGGAGGCAAGTCTCCACTTGGCTCAGGCTTCCGCCTGCCACTGCTTTAGCCAAAGAAGTCGGCGGGTGGAGATAGAGGATGCTATGGCCTTGGATGCGAAATGGGCTGCGTTCAAGGAAGCATCTGTGGTATATTCCAGGACTGCCTTCAATTTGTTAATGTCTGTGCAAGCCCTAGAATCCTGGGCCAGAAGCCTCCCTTGGAGTTATCTTAGCCATAGAAGAGCCGAGCAACTAAAGAACGAAGCAGAGGTAGCTGCCCTGAAGGCCCAGGCCAAGGCCTGGTGTTCCTTGACCAGAGTCTGTTCTATTGTCTTCAGGGCCAAGAGCTTCCTCAGGAGCTGCTGAGGCTGCGTTAGGAGAGAAGAGGCTAACGATAGGTAAGTCAATAAGGTACTTCTAAAGCTTTGGTGAGTTCTGGTCCCACATTATACAGCCGCTTGTCCAAGGGAGGGGGCTGTACCTGGTGATGTCCATTGGTTCTGGAATACTCTATGAAGAGTCTGGGTGATGGAATCACCTCCTTTTCCACCTTAGGTTGGACGAAGAGGGGGTCAGTGGTGTCTGTCTTGTCCGCTTCCGCTCCCTGAGATGTCTTGGGTGAAGGAATGTCCGCGATCTTCTTGGCCTTAAAGAGAAGAGACCGAAAGACAGCAGGTTTAAAGAGACCGACAAAGGTAGGAGGGTCGGGAGGAAGGCCCTCATCTTCTGAGAGATTTGAATCTGTTGCAGGGTGTTCCTCTTCTCCGAAAACTGACGGTTGACTGGACGTGCCAGGTAGCTCATGCGATGAAGAGGCCGAGAGTTCGCCATCCCTGCCTCTGGAACCAGAAGAAGCAGCAGACCTGCGAGGAGTAGAATGGTTAGAAGACTTGGGTTTAAGTCCTGCTGCTATGCCTCGTTTGATGACCTCAGGTATCATATCAGCCATGCCAGGTGAGTATGAATGGCAGCGGGATGGGGGAGATGTCCTCCTGATAGAGGGGCTCCTCATCAGGTGTGATTCTCTTGCCACCCTCAGATTCATCCCCACTGTAGACCATATCACCCATGCCCCTGGCTTCCTCAGGTTGGATAATGGAAGCAGCAGGGGAGAGATCATCCTCCGAGTCAGAAGACAGGTCAGGAGGATTGGGAGGAACAGACCTCTGGGGATGAAACAGATGGGATTCTGTATGCTTAGTCTTGCTCCTGGCCTGAACTGCACTGCCATCTTCTAGAGCAGGTGGATTAGTTGAATTCCTATGGCTAGGCCTAGGAATCTTGGGAGGGGGCCCAGTGGGGGGAACCTCTTGAGGAGGGCCTGCTCTTATGGGTCACAAAGGGACTCGTTGGTGGGGGCAGGGGCCTGGGCAGTTGGAGGCACTTGTGGCTCCTGGATAGGAGAGGAGGCCACGGCCTGTACTCACGACTTGTTGACTCAAAATAGCCGCCAGAGCTTCTTTGCACCAAAACAAAATGGCCACTGAGGTTACAGAGCCTATGGGCTGGGTGCTACGAGGTAGCTGAGGCTGTGGGAGAGATAAGGGCGCTGGTGGCCCTACGGAGAGGCTGCAGAAGTGAAGGGCAGCTGCAGCGGTTTGGCGGTGGCGGGAGCGCTGAGTAGCGGTGTCGGCGTGCAGCGGTGGCGCTGTTCCGGAGGCAGCAGCAACGTTTGGTGGCGGGGGAGAGCCAGCAGAGGTGGCAGCACTAAGCAGTGCCTCCAACGGCCAGTTCGGGACATCTCTGCAAGCCACCAGCAAGGTCAGGAGGCTGAAGCCTCAAAGACACCCTGGCAATCCCCCTCAAGAAGCCCTGGGGCTAAGAGAGAGAGCCTTGGCTCCAAGGGGAGTTATCAGCGACGATCCGACCTCCACCAGTAATTTAGAAGATAAATTTGAGAGGAAATTCCAATTAAATCTAATTAGAGTAGCCAATTCAGAATTTTTAAGTAGAAATGTTGAGGAGAGAGCAATTAGCACAGTCAGTTCTGATCGAACTAAGTCTAAAAAAGCGGGAGGACACTCCTCTACTTTGATGGACTCAGTTCTATTGGTTACTGGCTGAGTTAACCCATGCATGACTGCTGTCTCCACCAACTTTGGAGAATCTTGAGATCACCAACTACAAATGGTGGCTCAAAGAAAAAGATTATTTATTATTTATTAAATTAATATCATTTAGTTCTAATCCTACTTATTTTACATCTTCTAAATGTGCTATGCTTTTATGACCTATTTTATGCCTATTTTACTTGTTCAGTATTGAATATTCTATGTCTGTATGTTTGTAGGGCTTCTGACATGAATGAAGAAAATTATTTACAGGTTCATATAGTGGAATGTTTTGCATAGATAAGTATCAATCTACTCCATTGTTGACGAAACCTTTCAACACTGAGTGGTGAAATGGGAGCGGGTGTGTGGAGGAGGGAAGCGCCAGAAACAGGAAGAGCAGTTCTCTGGTGTGCAAACGCTGGAGCACCGGAAAGCAGAAGAACAGTTCCGCAGCGTGTATGCATGCGCCAGGGAGCTGAACTTCCAGTTCCCAGCAGTCACATGCATGCCAGTCACCTAGTCTTCCGGTTTCTGGTGTGCATGTGTGCAAGACCAGCTGGTTGGCACGCATATATGCGCTGGAAACCGGAAGCTCAACTTCCTGATGCATGCATGCGCACCAAGGTGCTGCTCTTCCTGTTTCCAACGCTCCCCTGTGCATGAAGACCAGCTGGCCAGCGTGCATGTGCACGATGGAACCTGGAAGAGCAACGAGCGATGGCTGGTGTGCCCAGAGAGATGGCTCTGTGTGCCACTTCCGGCACATGTGCCATAGGTTTGCCATCATGGGTCTACTCTGTCTAATTTAAGTCTGAGATCTTTGTCAATTGACTGCAAATCATTCAAGTTCTATTTAGAGATCTCAATCTGTCATCCTTCTCTCCATGAATTATAAGATTATACAAAAGAAGGGTTATTATTAATAGCAGTATAGTAGTAGTAGTAGTAATATTCAAATAAGGCAGTGGTTTCCTGAGCTTCAAATTTTATCCATGCCAATTTTTACTAAAATTAATTCAATTCAGAACTCGCTTCTTACATATTCAGAATTGTCTGTATACACGTTCTTGGACTAGCAAACATCCCTATTTACATAATTTATTTACATCTCACTTTTAAAAAATTGGGGCTTATGCGAAGACAGCAATTCTAAAACCTATTTGGAAGTAAATCTAATAAAATTTAATAAGACTTACTTTTGAGATGAGATGCACAGAACTGTTCTATAGGGCTCTATAAAAATATTTGGTTACACTAATTAAGGGAAGTGGAAATTCTAAAATGTTTATACAAAATTTGAAACATAGTTAATCTGACTTTTTTATTTCCTTAACTCATCCTAAAACAGCTATTGAAATCTAGCACAAAAACTAAGTGTTAAGGAGTGCAGACCTAGGTGTTAAGTCTACATTTAAAAGTCACATAAAATCACCGCTGTTCCCAAGAGACAGCATCTTTTGCAAATAGATTAGAGAACCATTTTTTAGTTTGAAAAAAAAAACCTCAACCACTGTTGATACAGTACTTGCCATTTTGATCACACTGGGCTTATTAAAGTCTCTATTCTAGATGTTTACAACTGTAAAAGGAACTACCCAAACCTACGTCTCTTGCATAAACGAAACAAGAGTGTGAATAAGCGAATGTCTTCAAATGGAAAAAAGTGAAGAGTGAATCTTTGTCAAACATTTGCAGCCTTGATGTTTATTTCCACCTCTAAAATTATCAAGTAGAAAAACCAGCAACATTCCTCTAGGATTACAAAATAAAGCATCTTCTGTCCCTCCAGCTCCTCTGTACTTGCTTGTCAATTAAGCAAATGGGTATTTGTAGCACTTCAAGGCTGAGTTTAGCACCACAAAAGATTGCCAAAACTGGTTTTGACAAAAGCAAACAATATGTGCAATAATACAACCAGGTTTTATTTTTTTTAAACTTCTTATCCCCACTCCCTCTTACTATGTAGAGTTCAGAGGGAATTTAAAGATCTGTTGTAAACATAACTACCCGCTCTCCCTGCTTCATAAGTGTACAAAGTAAAGGAGAGCAGATTTGTGACAGGTTTCTCTG